ATGAATTTTTTAAATATTATTTAAACAAATAAAGTTTCTTGAAATTTTTTTACGCACAAAAATTTCCTATCTAAAGACGAACAATTTACAAAAAAAAGAATTCAATTATCTTCTTTTGTTCCGGAGATATTCCCAAAAACATGGTTTCAACCCCCAACTTTGAGGGCTATTTTCACCCCTTCAATGTGAACGATTGCCGATAAAAAAAAATACGTGTCAAATATTTTTTTGAGAACTATCTTTCACATAAGTTTCATTAAAATCGGTGTGTCGCGGTTCGATATGTTTCCTTGTAAGTATCTTGAGTACACATTATAACTCTAAAATCAAAAAACCGTGAAATGACAGATGCAATGGAGAAGCAGACCAATGAATTATCCTTGGGTTCATCATGCGACAAAATTAAGAAACGCCAAGAATCAATGGTTCTCTTATATCGTTTTACAAAGAAGATACCAGGCCAGCAACAATTTACTAATGCAAGATTTTGATACACGGAAATAATGTTTTTTAGTACTTTCGTTTCCTAAACATTCCTCATACGATTGTAATTTGATACTTAAAACTTTACATGGCTGATATATTTGGCAAATAAATTGAATATTGTATTTTATTTAAAACTTTTCAGTTATTACTCACTCAGTAACAATATTTTCGATATTATGTTGCTGCTTTGGTAAAGAAGCGTCGCAGAAGAAGCACTTTTTTCGGTCCTTCAAATGCGAAACAATACAGTATCTTTCTGGCCCGTTAAGACCACAAGTCGAAGATGCATTCAATCGATTTTTTCTTCCAATTAATAAATTTCCAGTGGCAGGATAGCACGAACTTTGTTCGCATGGATGTTTCCTTTTTACCTGAGAACCTGGAAAGAATAACAATATATGAAAAACTTCATTACAAATTAAATGTAGTTAACCATAATTTTAATTACTTCCATATTCTACAATATAACATTGAAATCACACTCTAGATTATATGAAAAGCCCAAATTCAGTAGCGTATAAAGAAAAAAAAAAAGTCTAGTATGCATGTCTAGTATTTTGCCTGTCCGTTTCCTTTATTACTAGAATATATTGACTTCCTCCTGTTCACTTGATTTGGTGTGCACGTTATTTCATCCCCGCTCACAACAATATTATTACAAAAGTAAAAAAAAAAAAAATTAAAAACATAACATGGAAAAAAGCCAAGTTCTGCGGGCACGGATCTACGACAAAAAAAGGATGCAGAGATAACGAGGCAGGACTCCTAACCTCTAAGCCAATTCTTCGCTTAAAGGAGTGTCTTACGTTCCGATATATGTATAACCGACTACGACGTAAAATTAATTAATAAATGAATTTTATTTCTTTAACTAATATAGTATTTGTATTAATTATGAATGTGAATCTATTTCAAATTACTAAATACAGTGTTTATTCTATATACGCAAAAATGTCCTTTCCGATATAAGCAAAAATGTTATCCCCACCACTGGGGGGAAGACCCCTCGAGACGCCCGAGGTTCGCTCGCCGGGAAATGTAACGTGGTGTATCCGTGAGACAACACCAATGCAAATATAAAACTTTTTTATTTTTAACTTTTTCGTTATCAAATTTTTACCAATTAATTTTTGACATTTTTCCGATTAAAATGAGACCAAACACGATATAATTTGGATTAATTTGGATTGTATTTATTACTGGTTTAATTGACGATAAAAGTTTCAGACACTGCGGTGGTGGCAGTCGGCGAAGATCAAAAGTCTGTTCGATTGTTTGCAATGTTTAAGCATTGCTAATTTTGTTATTTTTCATCCATTTTTTTATATAACTTTCTTCATCATATTCGTGACATTTTCCTGACTAAAATGAGACCAAACACAACATAATTTAAGTTATATTTACTTGCAATATCTTATTAGAGTAGTCATCGATGTACGAAGTAACACTTGAAATTACAAGTAAATATGTCCCGAAGTATGTCGTGTTTGGTCTCATTTTAATGAGAAAAATGTTACAAATATGATGGAAAAAATTTCAAAAAAAAAATCGAAAATAAAAAAGTTTTATTCTTGCATTAGGAGTGTCCTTCTAGTAGGTCACTGTTTGTTTACGTTCGGTCTCCTTCGCTCGAAATGTAGTACCTTTACGATATACGCAAACGGCCACCGTGTTATTTTATACGTTCGGCAAGACATCAATCAATTGTAGGACCTGTACGATATACGCAAAACCTCAGACCCGAAAGATTTGCATATATAGAATATCCACTGTATATATACTGACAACAGAATGCATGCAAATTCAAAGCGGAAAGTACAATTTTAAAAGAATATATCGGTTTTTGATTTTTTTAACTACGGCGCACCTCACCGAAAAATCTGAAAAAATTAGGGAATATTAGTTAATATTAAGGGAATATTAAGTATTAGTACTAATATGTAGCTACCACATTAATATAAAAGTAGTGTCTCGATATCTTCACTAAAAAATCGCATTTTTCGGATTTTTTTTCGGTTTTTGATTTTTTACAACTACAATTTGCGATAAAAAAGTCTGTAAAAATTCTATAATATGCACTACGAGGACCTTAATGCCTCAGAATTTTTTCAAAATTTTGTCACAAAATTAAATAGGCAAAATATACCAAAAACCGGTATTTAGTTTTTGAGGGGTTCAAACTTGGTGTGAGATGACATTTGACTATCTTATCCAGCTAGACCCTTTTACTAATGTTAGTATTGTGTATTATACATATACATTTACATATATTAAAGTGCATTGAATGAAAAAATAAAAAGGGAAGATTAATTCTTTCACAAATCAAGTAATGTATTTATTATAATACACTAACGGTGATAGAGAAAATGACAATGTCTAGTATTGCGCAATGTAATAAACGGTTATTAAAAATATAAAGTTTTCATTCCCTAATTTAATTTTTTATTTACTATTTTATGTCACTGATTTAATATTACGGACATTCGAAGATATTTTTTTTGTATTTCCTTCAAATAATTGTGATACTTTAATTTGACATATTGAGAACATAGGTTTATATTTGCAAAACACTATTCTGGAATTTCTTCTAAACTCAATGAATTTGTAACAGTTTACAGTTTTTGGGTAAATAGCAAATAATGTGTCCTATGAATTATTTTTAGATTCTAAGAACTCCATTACAGGTTCTCCTTCAACAGTAATGACTGTAAGATTGACTTATTTTATGCATATTTGATTAACCAATACTTTTGCGTCTTGTAAGGGTAATATCGCATATCTAAAATTTTTACTTACAAATTACTAAATAATTTATTAAAGGTATTTATTTTTAAGGTTATTTTTAAAGGTATCAGTTTTTATTAATAACATGAGTAACATGCAGCATTTATTATTGTATGACTAACTATGATTTCTACTGTCACGTTTCGGAATTTTCAAAAATTAGATGATTTAAACACAGAATCATACACCTTCGTTCATTAAAGTATTTTCTCTGGAAACGTAAAAGTGTGTGTGTATAGTGTGCAGAAATATAAGTTTATTAAAAGAATACTGTACAGGATTTTGTGGGCATAAATAATTTTAATGCAAAATTACACAAATATAACCAATTTTATTTGGCAGAAGTATTGAATAAGGAACGCAAGCGTCTATTTATTTACTCGGTCGCCGGGAAAAGACTGAATACCTGCTCCGCGCTCGCGGACCCGACGGAGCGATAACGCGATACCGATTGTTGACGAACGCTACCGATAACGTCCGAAAATGCTTCGCCCTTCATAGACGCGAAACCTTGCTTCTTACTAGCATTTCTATCGAATTTTCTTATAAATTCGAATAATTACTTATTAAAAAGTCAACTCTGCCGGTTTCGCCGGTAGCTTAGCGGCCCCGTGCACGCGTGGACCTTCATAACGGTAGATGCCTACCCAATTGAGGTCTATAGCGGCCTCGGAAAGATTCTCATCTTCCCGAGCACGTGGGGAGCTTGACGGCCACAGAAAACCCTTTAGTTTTCCGCGCACGCTGGGCTACACCGTTGAGAGTTGACACAATCAGACTTTTCCGATTTTAATGACAACATATGCCCTTTATAGCTAATATTCCCGCATCTATGATTACAATGTTGCGAATCGGTGCATCAATCGCTTATAAAATAAACATATAATAATTGAAACAAATGCGCTTCTTTGCTTAGCGTTAAAGAAACTTAACATTAACAAACATTGGATATTAAACATTACAAATAAATTGTCCATTACAATACATTAAATAAACTTAAACTAAATCTATACTATACAAATACTGTATAATAATGTTGTCACTCCAAACCTTTTGCCCTTTTTTCTTTTTCCTCTCTGTCTTACATTTGTTCAGTCACACATTTTTATTTAATCATACGCTTTCATACACTGTTCGTTCAGTCCTATCAGTCACGCATTCTCATTTCCACAAAAACTGTAACTCAACTCACACCTTTCTTGTCACAAGCAATTTCTCGTATTTTACTCCTGTTGACCATTCCTCCACCAACCTAGCACTTATCCTTATTATATTTGGCTGATAAACCTTGTAAATCAGATCACTTTTTCCTTTTGCGTCTAAATTTATCCCCCGGACCTTATTTTTTAAATGCTCGTGGTTACCTCGAGAGGTGTTCGAGTTTGCTAGGCGTTTTGCACGCATATGCCGACAAAAAACTAAGGATTGTATCGAAGAACCACCTGAATACTCTGGAAAAATTCTAACATATTTCATTTCTTACAAATTCTATATATCACAATGGTTGACTATGAATGGTTTTCTACAAGTTACTAAGATGTTCTAAAATGTACTGTGTGATACAATGGTTTGTTAAAATGATTGTATGTGAATGCGAATTTTTTTTTGTTTATTGTATAGTCTCGGTTTCGTTCTTTTTTTGGCCCCGGGAAGCCACCACCCGAGCGACGGAGGCACGAGATGGGCCCACCGGTTGACCGATCGCCGCGCCATCCGTCAATCTTCGCGGGGTTGATCGGCAGCAAACCGCCGAGGGATGCAGGTCTGTCGACCAGCCACCACTCACAGGGGGCCGCAGACCTGACCACCAGCAAGAACGTGATGGCCCATCCCTGACGCCGAAATCCTCGGGGATGGGGCACCGCGCGCAACGGGAAGACGAGCCGCGGATTCCAGGAAGAGAAAAGCAAGCAAGCCGCGAAATCGGTATCACGCAGCGAGCGCCCCATACATGTTCCCAAGTTTTTTTTTTCGTTCTTTTACTCTACCATTTTCTGTTATTTTATTTTACTTTTTTTTTGTATTTTCTCTTGGTCTTTTGTGGTTTGTGAGTATGTTTGGAAGTGAAGGGCGACAACGATACCCTCCACAAGTTGGACCGTCAATATCAAAGAAAAAGAGGTGGGATTTTTGCCTCCTGGCGTGCCTCATATTTAATTTTTGCGTGTGCGAGCGTGTGTGTATGTGGGTGGCACCTGGCGACAGGGCTACCAGCCCCGGCGTCGGGGACAATGGAGGCCGTATACCCCGGATTTGTTTTGTACCGTTTCCTGCGCTTCCGCGGCGCCGCGAATCCCGGTACGGATTGTCGGTCCCTTTCTTTTCCGTTGACATATTTTGTCCATGACTCCTAAGAGAGCGTGTTCCCGTCTGCGCTACCGATTTGTATTTCTTTTTTGTATTTATCGCTTGTACCGTGAATCCCCGCGCCGCGAAAACCTCCTTCGCAACTGACAAGCGCGATCTTTTTCCCGGCCGTACTCTGTACCGCGTGAGGCTCCACTTCGTTTCGTTTAAGCAGCCTACTTCGGCCCACATTAAAGGTTTTCTTTGGTTAGATACTCGCGGGTCACCTATTTATTTCTTGACCCCCTC